ACCTACAGGGGGCACTACTAGCGTGTAGCATCACTCACTCACCTACAGGGGTACTACTAGCGTGTAGCATCACTCACCTACAGGGGCACTACTAGCGTGTAACATCACTCACCTACGAGGGGCACTACTAGCGTGTAGCATCACTCACTCACCTACGAGGGGCACTACTAGCGTGTAGCATCACTCACCTACGAGGGGTACTACTAGCGTGTAGCATCACTCACCTACGAGGGGCACTACTAGCGTGTAGCATCACTCACCTACGAGGGGCACTACTAGCGTGTAGCATCACTCACCTACGAGGGGCACTACTAGCGTGTAGCATCACTCACCTACGAGGGGCACTACTAGCGTGTAGCATCACTCACCTACGAGGGGCACTACTAGCGTGTAACATCACTCACCTACGAGGGGCACTACTAGCGTGTAGCATCACTCACCTACGAGGGGTACTACTAGCGTGTAGCATCACTCACCTACGAGGGGCCCCCTCGTAGGTGAGTGATGTACACGCTAGTAGTGCCCCTCGTAGGTGAGTGATGCTACACGCTAGTAGTGCCCCTCGTAGGTGAGTGATGCTACACGCTAGTAGTTACACGCTAGTAGTGCCATCACTCACCTACGAAGGGTACTACTAGCGTGTAACATCACTCACCTACGAGGGCACTACTAGCGTGTAGCATCACTCACCTACGAGGGCACTACTAGCGTGTAGCATCACTCACCTACGAGGGNTATTGATAGCATCCACTCCCTACGAGGGGCATACTAGCGTGTTAGCATCCTCACTATGAGGGGCACTAACTGGTGTTGTGTAACATTCACTCATCTTTACGAGGGGCACTATAGATGCTAGATCACTCACCTACGAAGGGCCACTACTAGCGTTGTAGTGTCAACATCACCTTCACTACGAGGGGTACTACTAGTCGGTTAGATCAATCACCTAAGGAGGGGTACTACTAGATGTAGATCACTACGCTTACTGAGGGCACTATAGCGTGTACATCGCTCACCTACGTAGGGGGTACTTCACTAGAGTGTAGCATCACTCACCTAGAGGGGTACTATAGCGTGGTAACATCTACTCACCTACGAGCGGTTTATACTAGCGTGTAAGACATCACTCAACTTCACGAGAGAGTAATACAGATGTAGCTCACTACCTACGAGGGGTAACTAGCGTGTAGGCATCAATCACTAGAGGTGGTACTACTAGCGTGTATAGCTATAACCATACCTTACCGAGGCGGTACTCACTAGGCGTGTAAACGCTAGTCACTCACCTCGAGGGGTACTAATAGAGTGTAGTCATCACTTCACCTACGAGGGGTACTATAGCGCTGTGAACTTCACTCACTAGAGAGAGTTATACTAGCATTAACATCAATCAACTTAGAGGGTACTACTAGCGTGGTAGCATCACTCACCTTACGGAGGGGGGCATACTAGGGTGTAGGCATCTACTCACTTACGAGGGCGGCATACTAGATGTAACATGCTCACTCACCTCACGAGGGGCCACTATCTAGCATGTGTAAGCAATTCATCCCTACGAGGAGGTACTACTAGCGTGTAGCTTCACTCACCTATGAGGGGTATACTAGGCGTGTAGCATCTTCACTACGAGCGGTACTACTAGCGTGTGAGCATAAGCTCACCTAACGGGAGGGCGACTACTAGGCGTGTAGACATCACTACCTACGAGGCAGCTACGTAGCATGTAGCATCACTCACCTACGAGGGGTATATGCGTGAGCATCACTCAGCTACTGAGGGTATTGACTAGCGTGTAGCATCACTCCGCTAGAGGAGGTACTAACTAGCGTGTAACATACTCACTACGAGGAGGGATCTACTAGATTCACTCACCTACGAGGGTGTAACTACTAGCGATGTAGTCGCTGTATGGTTTAGGTTTTAGTTCTGATTATCATCGTGGATCGATATGGATTATGTTTTTCCGGATTCTGCATAAAGATGCATTTTCTCAGTACCTCTGTCAAAGACCTGACTATAAATCAATCACTACGAGGGGTACTACTATGTGTGAGCATGGAATCACGCATACGAGGGGCATAACTGAGCGTGTAGAGGCATCACTCAGCTAACCGAGGGGTACTACTAGCGTGTAACATCACTCACCTACGAGGGCACGACTAGCGTGTTAGCATCACTCACCTACGAGGGGTATACTAGCGGTGTTACGATCATTCACCTACGAGGGGTACGTGACTAGACGTGTACACTCACTCACCTACGAGGGGTAATGCTAGCGCTGTAGACATCACGACCTCACCGAGGGCAACACTAGCGTGTAGATCACTTCACCTCACGGCCGCTACTAGGTGTAACATCACTCAGCCTACGAAGGGGGCACTACTAGCGGTGTGATTAGCATCACTCACCTATCGAGGGGAGTCTACTACTAGCGCGTGTTAGATCACTCACCTACGAGGGCGGTGGTATACTAGGCTGTTCGATCAGCATCACTCATACATACGAGGGTATAGATAGCGTGGTTGCATAGCTCACCTAAGAGGGGCGACTATAGTGTGTAGAATATCACTACGAGCGGGCCACTACTTAGCTTGTTAGCATCACTCGACCTACTAGGGTACTACTAGGATGTAGCTATCACTCACATACGAGGGGCACTACTAGCGGGAGCATCATCACGCTACGAGGGGGCCTACTAGCGCCTTAGATCACTACTAAGAGGGTACTATAGGCGTGTAGCGATCATCACTAGAGGTGGCACTATAGCGTGTAGAGCATCATCACTACGAGGGGCACTACTAGCGTGTATGACATGCACTCACCTACGTAGGGGACATACTAGCGTTGTAGGCCAGTCACTCACTACGAGGGGCACTACTAGGTTGTAGGCAGCAGATCACGCTACGGAGGGCATAGCTTAGCGTGTAACATCACTCACCTACTGAGGCGATACTAGGGTGTAGCATCAACTCACCTACGAGGGGAGCTACTGATCACTCACCTGACGAGGGGTACTTACTAGAGTGTTAAACATCACCTCACCTACGAGGGGCACTCTACTAGCGTTGTGAGATCACTACCTACGAGGGGTCACTCACTTAGCGTGTAGCATCATCACCTACGATGGGGAATACTAGAGTGGAACATGCATCACGCTAGAGGGGCTCGACTACTAGCGTGTAACATCACTACTACGAGGGGCATTTAGGCGTGTATTAACATCATCACTACGAGGGGTCCTAACTAGCGTGTCAAGATCACTACTTACGAGGGGGATATACAGCGTGTGAGCATCACTCACTACGAGGGGACTACTGGAGAGTTGTGCATCACTCACTACGGGGCATTACTAGTCGTGTTGAGCATCAGCTCATTACGAGGGGCCTACTAGTGGTTGTAGCATCACTCACTACGAGGAGGCATAAGGAGCGTGTAACTATCACTCACTACGAGGGGCATACGTAGCGTGTAACTTATCACTCATCCCTCACGAGGCCTGAGTACTACTAGCGTGTAGCATCATTTCACCTACGAGGGCTACTATAGCGGGTAACATCACTCACATACGCAGGAGGGCACTACTAGATGTAACATACTTCCACATACGAGGGGCTATACTTAGTTGTATCATCAACTCACCTAGAGGGGCACTTATTAGGCGGTGTAGCTCATCACTACGAAGCGGGTACTGACTAGCAGTTGTAACATCATCACCCATACGAGGGTAACTATAGCGATTGTAGCATCACACTACGCAGGGGCAACTACTAGCGTGTAAATCAATCACCTACGAGGGGCCACTTACTAGCGTGATGAACATCACTACTACAGGGCACTCTAGGTGTAGCATTTCATCACATACGAGGGTACTACTAGCGTGTAACATCCACTCCACCTAACGAGGGGCAACTTACTAGGTGTAACATCACTCACTACGAGGCGTGAGACCTTACTGACTAAGCGTGTAACATCACTCACGCTTACGAAGGTACTACTAGCGTGTAGCATCACTCACCTACGAGGGGTACTACTAGCGTGTAGCATCGCGCGGCGACGACGCGCTGCAGGCCGGCTAGATGATCGATGAAGCAGTTCGTGTCCGGCACGAGGAAGTACGGACAGACGATCACCTCTGCGAGTCGCTCCTGCTTCTCCTTCTCCAGCACCGCCTGCGCAGAGAGAGAGGGAGACTGACGGCGATGGTCTAAGTGCGGTGTAACTAGCGGTAACTCTAACTGCCTAACCTGAACTCTCCCCATAACTTTTAACCTAACCCTAATCATAACCCTAACTCTAGCTGATACCCTAAGTAACCCTGAACCGAACAATAACCCTAACACTAGCACTAACTCTTACCCTGACCCTAACCCTAACCCTAATTCTAACTCTAACTCTTACCCTGACCCTAACTCTAACTGTTATCCTAACCCTAACTCTAACTCTTACCCTGACCCTAACTCTAACTCTAACTGTTACCCTAACCCTTACCCTAACACTAACCCTAACACTCACTATGATTCTTACCCTATCGTAACAATACTAACATGACTAACGACTAATACTGTAATAACACACAATCACCACTGACCGTTCTCTGCTTCCCCTGCTGTTCGTGCCGTAGCTTCCTTCTCTCCAGAACCTGCTTCTTCCTCTTCAGCTCCTGGATGGCAGAGCTCTGCTCCCCCTGCAGCTCCTCCTCCTCCTCTGATGATAGTACATACTCATTCTGCTCCTAGGTACACAGGGAGAAGGTGAGGTGCGATTGAGACAAGATCCAGTATTCACACGCCTCTCATGTTTAATTATGAGAGAGAGAGGGAGAGCGAGAGAGAGAGACAGAGAGAGAAAGCGCGAGAGAGAGAGAGAGAGAGAGAGAGAGAGAAGAGAGAGAGAGAGAGTGAGAAAAAGTGAGCGAGATAGACGACAGACAAACAGACAGACAGAGAGAGAGAGAGAGAGAGAGAGAGAGAGAGAGACAGAGAGAG